CTGCAGACACGACCCTGGGTACAGGGCACCTCGACACGACACATTTCTACACGAGGGCATTTATGTGGAGCTCTTGGTGTCTCTGTGAAAGGATGTGGGGAGAGATTCATGGTGGTATTCGCATGTAGAGCAGTGTGCATTTTTCTAATTTTGGCCGTTCGAGGAAGCTTGATATTTCCCTCTGGCACGTCTTTTCATTGGCCACCGGGTAACGGGGTCGATGCGAATAAAAAAGACACACCTATTCGATAANGAGGAAGCTTGATATTTCCCTCTGGCACGTCTTTTCATTGGCCACCGGGTAACGGGGTCGATGCGAATAAAAAAGACACACCTATTCGATAAATAAAGGCTGACCATTTGACTACGTGCACAGTCATCGATGACTGTGCACGTAGTCAAATGGTCAGCCTTTATCTAATAACACCTACCTATTGACTTGCCAACACCTGGCGTGGAGGGGTACAGGGTGGCAACTCCATGGCATGCCAACACACCAGCATTTACAAATGATCAATCAATAATCTGTCAGCACGCCTGAAGACCCAAGAGTTTTTTTTTTGTCATCACTTCAAATCACCGCTCACAGCACTAGTGCCGCTTACTCCAACCCGTGGTCACACAGAAGAGCGTCTCCTCTTTACCCTCTTCTCCTGCGGTGCTTTGCCTTCGATTTTTAATGCGAGAAGACTTCAGCCCTCTCTTCCCTCTGTGTACACACGAACTAGCGCTATCCTCTAATAGGCCAGGAGCGGAAGCGAGAGAAAAACTCACTTTGCGAATTGTAAAGCTCGCTTACGCCGGGAGTCGAACCCCTGACCTGACCTCTATCTAGAAGGTTTCGAGGATACCAACTAGACCACGGGGGCGTTAAGGTAGTCCTAACATGGATCGTTTCCGTTTCAGGGACCTGTACCCCACCATGCGCACAGCTATATGTCTATTTGTCCATGTACGGAGTAGTCCAGGGCCCTGTTGTTATTTGTTGTCCCTCTTCTTGTCGGAGCATTTATTCCTCGAGTACGTCCGCATTGCGGCCTACCCTTTTCCGTCCCGCTTCTTCCCACCTCCACCATGTTTCGCGAGTTCTTCATGGCGCCGTGTCGATGGGTGAATCGAGTCTTGCGATACACATTCCTGTCGCTACCCTAACCCCATCATACTATACGGCAATCCGTCACCTCTCTCTGCAGCAACAGCAGAAGATTTGCTCTCGTATCTCCCGCTATTTTTTTCCCGCGTTCGTGGTCGGTCTTGAATGAAACGTCTATTTAGATCTTGCAAAGAACAGCCACCTATATTCGATAAGGTTACACCACTAGACTAGTCAGCGCTGACTAGTCTAATGGTGTAACTTTATCGAATAAATGATATACGCTCAGCTCGTTAGCACCCGGCTGGATCACATTTTTGGGGTTTACGGCTTGGATCTCCGGGGACGGACCCCTCGCCAGGCGCTGACTGCGCGCGCCAGGCGCTGACTGCAAAGATCTGGACAAATGATTTAACAATTGGCGACTAAAGTTTCACGCACGGGTTCGAATCCCGGCTACTCACTTTCCCAAGCACCATTAAGTTCTTTGCAGTCAGCGCCTGGCGAGGGTCCGTCCCCGGAGATCCAAGCCGTAAACCCCAAAAATGTGATCCAG